CAACTGTGCAGAGAGAAAATGATGACAAGAAAATAATTAAATGACAAGAACAGCTGAAGAAACAGTGAGGGAGGAGCAGTGTATTAATTTTCTTTGCATCCATTCTTCTTATCCATTGGGTTTTTATGTAATCCGCATTCCCAGGCATGTAAAATAAAATACAAAAGTACATACAGGAGTTCACTGCCCTCCCTTTATCAAGCAAAGGTTGTTGACATCAGATGGATATCTGCATTACTTGTTCTCTAACATCTCCTCGAGTCACCAATCTGTTCCAATTCCTTATACTCTTTCCTTGAGGAAGGTTATTCTAGTGTTTAACTGAGTCTCCTTCCAGGTTAAGTCACGAATGCTTAATCAAGATGAGCAACAGATTACGATCTTTCTACTGCAGTTTCTTATATACTTGAACACAGTTATGACATCTCTCTCCAGGAGTTGTCTTTAGTTCTTTAGTCTTCGAACCTACAGCTAATTGAATCAATCCTGCTCACTACACCACCTTTACACTTCTTGGCTGACATCTTACCTCTATTACTTCTGTCAGTTATGCTAACCATATTCCTTATTTTCCCAACTGTGAAGTTCGATACCAAAAACTGTCCTAGTTTTGTCTTTGGTAACTTTCTCCCTGCAGACTGACACTTCCTTTATTCATTCCTCTCACAATGAAATGGTTACAGAACCAGTCATTGTTTTTCCTACTGTCCTTTGTTTGTTGTGTCATACCTTTTTTCATTTTATCATTGTCTTACTCATGTTTTTCATTCATGATGGTCCTTGATTATCGGACCTTGCTCCTGCTTTGCATGTATTTCCATCTCTGACATGGTCACTCATGTTACTGTATTTACTGCCCTGTCACTGGATTGCACTAAATGTATTCTGTTTGCATAAAGTGCTTTTTAACTCTTCAGTTCTTTAGATCTTCCTTCCAGCTGATGCCATCTTGAAATTCAGGCTTAGTGAAGTCTATTATTTTTCTTTTCCTCTTTTAAAAGTCGTAAACGCTAATTTTCATGGCTGTTCTCACCCAATTTTCTTTCTGTTTTAACCTTCTCAATCTGTCTCTATCCACCTTATAGTTAAACAGAGGAGACTCCTACCTTGTTTTACTAGATATAACCCATATCCAAACAGTGTTGTCTGTGCTTGAAAAGAACTTGATAAATGAGCTACTACTACTCTTCAGTGTCATCAGGCCCTGTGATTTGAAGAATGCTCTGGTGGCTGCTCACAAAAAGCTCTCTCTGCATTTCCTTCCAGATTTGATGGTTTTAAGCGAACATATATCACAGGAGGGACCATACCTTTGTCACTGGTAAACTAATTGAGATTATTCAGTCTGGAGAAGAGGAGGCTCAGGGGATACCTAATCTCTCTCTACTATTCCCTGAAAAAGGAGGCTGTGGTGAGGTGGGGTTTTGCGTCTTCTCTCAGGTAACAGTGACAGGATGAGAGGGAATGGTCTCACGTTGCACCAGGGAAGATTCAGAATGGATATTAGAAAAAAAATATTCTCAGAAAGAGTAGTAATGCATTGGAACAGTCTGCCCAAGGGGTGAATGAAGTCACTGTTCCCAGATTTTGAGAAATGGAGATGTGGCACTGAGAGACATGGTTTAGTGGGCATGGTGGGGATCAGTTAATAGTTGGACTTACTGATCTTGCAGGTCTTTTCCTCAGTAATTCTATAACTCTATAACCAGTAATCAGTGGCCCTAATTCCTTCAATGTTCTGCATCTCTGAACACATGAATGAAACTCTGATTTATGAGGCTACAAATCTTCTTTATTTCCTTCTCCTACTTTTCCTGAAACCATTATGTTTTGTTTATATTATCCATTCATTTATGTTTGCCTAATGGTCTGTTCTGAGCAATTATTGATACATACGGATCTTATCATAAAAGCTGTCTATGTTCTCTCATTTAACTTAAGCTGGTAGCATTTCTGTCTCTGTCCTTTTACAGTGAAGTGCAAATCTATTCATGTGCTAGCTCTGTAAAAGGTATTCTCAGTATGGGAGAACCTCTTGAAGTGGCCTGGCTCTCCCAATAGAGTCCTATATTATTTGCAAAGGCAAATGTAGAAAAATGAAGGGATGATTCCAAATCTCAAATTACATCTTTCTGTATTGCACATAAAGATGGCTGCTGGTCCTTCTAATTTGCTGTGATGGCAATGATATAAGTTGGGTTCAAAAACAGCAACTGCATTTGCTTCTGTGGCAAAAGCAATGGTTTAACTATTACATGTCTTCAAGGAAAGTTACTGTGTCGTCATTTGAAGAGAAAAGAGAGATCAGAGTCAAATGCTCCATTTCCAACTGCAAGCACATGCTCATTCTGTAAAAGGGCATAAGTGAAAAGCACCGGAGCTCAGTAAATCAGGAGAGGACTGGAAAGCAATGTGCCCAAGCAAGGAAAAAAAAAATTAAGTCTTTCTGTGGAAAAGTTGAAAAGAGTTATGCAATTTGAAGCTTTTATTTCTATGTTTTTAGTAACTTAAAGTTTTAGAATTATGTCTCTGCTATAAATCTTCTTAGAGGAGAAAACTTTTCATAAAGTAAGACTCTAAATTTTACAGCACTCTGTTGGATTAGGTCTACAAAACTATCCATCTGAAAAATAGTAAAGAAATTAATTACAGGAAAACAGTTTCTTTTTAAGCTTTTTATGAGACAAGTCATAAAGTTCTGGTACTGACAGCACAGCTCTATGTCTGTTAAATTCTAGTCAATATTACTATAATTTTGTAAACCTTCAGAAAATCGTTCACTTTTTGCATTCATAAAACTTGTTGGATTTTGTGAGGTCGGATAATATTGCTTAAAATATTGCCAAAGGTTAAGATGAATGTTTCAAAGCAAAAGTAAAATCATTCATAAATGTAAAAAACCTGCAGATTTTATCACAAAATAATTCAAAAATGGCAGTAAATCTTTGACCACACAGGGTTCTGAAGGCAGGTGGGGAGTATTTGCCCATAGTGAACTTCTTGAATTCATTTGGCAAAATTACCTCTTATGTTCATTCCTAATTGGATCTAAGCTTAAAGGTAAATTTTCCAAATGCTGTATTCAGGCTCAAAATTAGTGTTCAACTTTCTCCTATCATGAATGCATACTCTTTTTGCTGACGAAATCAGTATATTTGAAATCTGGAGCATATTTAAAAGTCTCTTCATTTTCCTCTCACACTGGATATTATTTTTGCTTCTGGTGAAAGTGCTACTTATTGACATTGCAGCTGCACTTGTAAGATTTGGTCAATGGTCCAGGCTTCATGGTAAAAGTGTCTTGTGCAGAAAGAGTCACAGTGTGAGGTCGTGACTTCTGCAATGTGTAATGACAACTCAGTCCCTGTGTAGAGAACAGGGGATGCGCTGGGGACCAGGTAACTGCAGCAGATTTCCTGCATGCTCTTGAATACAGGAGCAAAGTCTAAACCAGAAAGCAGATGATCAAAATAGAACAACAGAAACATACAGCTAAAGGTCACCTACATCAGTTACTCTATGACTAGCTTAAAATAGTGAGAGTTACTTTGAACAACTCATGAAGTTTTAAAGTAAGATAAATTAAGATGTTTTTATCCTCCAGTTATTTGACCTTTAGGATTTAAAGGTGCTCTCTACAATCATTAACATCAGTGACTTTCTAGAAGAAAAACAAAGAGTCTGAGAATACTCTGTAATTCTGTAAGACGTGGGGCTTTTGAAAAACTGAAATATCATGCTCATGATAAAGGAGTAGGAATTTGGAACACTCTGATGAGATATGCATATTTTTAGTAGAGTTGAGTGAAACTTAATAAATTCAATACTTCCAGGGAAATCCATTATGAAGCCAGAGAGAGGGGAATTATCTTAAGACGTTTGTGACATTTTGTTTTATTTGTGCCTTCAGTCACTTCTGCTAACTACTTGTGGTCGGTGTGTTGCAAGCTCTGATAGGCTAACCAAACAGGATTAAAATTATGTGTGCCGTGCAAGTCTACAATACTCCAGCCACCATCAACGAAGAAATAGAAGCAACGCATGACATCTGCTTAGTGCTCTGCCCAACTTCATTAGTCATGTCTGCAGAGAGGATTTATTGCTTCAGATGCAATGCCATGCTATCACAGCAGCTGAGCTATGAACTGGTCTTTCTGCTTGAGCAGTGTCAGCTCATTCAAAATTTGCTTCTAGCTCTTTGTGTCGTGCCCCACTGCACATTAGAGGCATGGTGTGCAACACAGAGCTGCCTTTCACTGCCTGCCAACACTGTCAGAGATCCTGTCCTCAACGCTGTCCCCTTCCAGGTAGGAGAAGCATCATCCCAATGTCAGTAAAACACCAAATCCAAGATTTTTCTTCCCAGAGCTCACGTGAACTTTACGTGATGCAGAGCTGTGTCTATATATAGCAGATTTTGGGACATGTGATTTGTAATGTTGTTGGAATTATGTGAAGGATGAATAATATCTCAGTAGAAGGTGCCAGTTACAAGCAAACACAAGGAAAAGGAAAAACTAAATCTTAGAAATGTTATTCCTTTCAGTATCTAAAGGGGACTATAAGAAAGAAAGAGAAAGACTCTTAAGCAGGGCCTGTTGTGATAGAACAAAGGGAAATGGTTTTCAACTAAAAGAGGGGAGATTTAAACTGAATAACAGGCAAACATTTTTTACAACAAGGGTGGTGAGGCACTGGCACAGAGTGCCCAGAATGCTGGTGGACGCCTCATCCTTGGAGACACTCAAGGTCAGGCTGGACAGAGCTCTGAGCACCTGATGGAGTTGTAAGAGTCTCTGTTCCTTGCAGAGCAGTTGGACTAGATAGCCTTTAAAAGTCCTTTCCTGAAATGATTCTTTGATTCCACTGCAGGTGCATTACTAAACTGCAGTCCGAGTCACAGGTGTGAGCACGTGCTCTCAGGATACTAATTTTGTTTCTGAGAAAGCCCTTTTCTTACTCCATTGAATAGTCAATGCTGTCTATGTTTACCCCTGCAGTGATGGCTGGGCAGACAGGTACGATGTGACAGACGGGTATCAGCGTGAAGCTGTTGGTGGAATAACAATCAAGCTCCAGTCTCCTGATGTTAAATGGTTTGATGATTACTACTTGGAGCTTCGGCCAGAAACCAATCACCGAAATCCATGGTTTCAGGAATTTTGGCAGCACAGGTTCCAGTGCCGTCTGGAAGGGTTTCCTCAAGAGAATCCTAAATACAACAAGACTTGCACAAGTAAGTGAAGTTATTTCTGTTGCTGCATAAACCAGTGTGACTGAAGGTGGGCTGAACAGCTCGTGTTGAGCTGATACAACCTGGTCTAATGGAATAGCAGTTGAAATAAGAGGCTGGAATTGCAACCCTTGGTCTTTCCAGAGTGACAACAGCTACAATTTTAAAAGTACTCGGCTCTCTAAAGAAACAAATCGATAGTACCACAGCACCTAACTACTCTCAATATTTGAAAAACTTGGTGCTCCTCTACTCTTCTAGGCATCTAACTATTTTCAAAAATATTGTCTTCTAGTATTCAGTGCTTCTTTTATGAAACAGGGTTAATCATGCTTTCTTATCTCAGAATCAGAGTCTATTTATTAAAAATTTATCTGAAGTACAGATGATAATGATAAAGATTCTTTTATTATTTCAGATAGAATTCTATTTGATTTGAAAGATTTCATTTGGATTTCTTTCGGTGGTGAGTCACTTTAGAAAATGCCATTTTGACAAAGCTGATATTTTTCATGAAATTGAACTGATTTTAGCAAAAACTGCCACAACATTTTGTCATTTTTGCAAAACAGCAGCAACTTTTTTTCTTCCAGAAAGATGTGATGCCTATTTAAAGATTTTTGTTTTTCTTCTGCTAATTATTCTTTGTCTTATGAGATTCCTTTCAGTACTAAGACAATGCTCCATCGCATTGTTTTTTTCAGGGGCATAAACATTTTAGTTTTGGTTGAAACATCCTTCATCTTTTATTTGCATGAAATCCATGAACTACAATTGAAGTTTAAGATACTCTTTTCAGGGCTGATACCAATTTGAGGTATTGTGCATTGTTGTTCTACAGCATGGAGAAAATCAGTGCAAGCCTTAAAAGCAGATACTGTGAGTATATTCACTAAAGTGCATATGTAACATCAATTTTCTCCATGCGTGTTCAGATGCACAACTACTCTCATGCCTTTCCCATACCCTAAGATGATGGCAGTGACTGAAACCAACGTCTGTGAAAAGAAATCTATGTCATAGTCCTTGCTCACTTTCTCATTATTTGAATTTTTGAAATGGTTTCAAACAATTTGAAAAAGAAGGAAGTGAAAGAGGAGACCTAATGGCCAACTGTCCTGATGGTGAGTCGGAGATGTAGCATTAAAGCTCTTCAGACGCAGTAAGGCATTAACCTGAATCTCTTTCGCCAAGTTGCACATAAAGGACAGATGTCAGGATTTTCTTCAGATTTCCAACAGATTTGCTCTCACTGGAAAATGGTTTTGGGATTGGATATCTTTGACAGAGAGAACAAGACCCCTTGATGGGCACCCTGGAATGGTCCCATGCTGGGCATCAGTGCAACCACATCTCTAAGCCCCAAGGGACATTCCCTCCTAAAAATGTCAAATTTCCACACACCTGTGAGACCAAGAAATGGCTTTTGGGGATTAAAGTTTTTAGCTTTATACAAGAAAGAAATCACACCTAAGTCCCCTTTAAGGTTTATAAACCTTTTGAATTGTACAAGATTGCAGAGGAAGTTTGCAGCTGAGGTGGAAATTGAATCTAGAAATCTCAAAATCTCACTTTATGCCTTTAACATTCAATTGACCTTCTTCTAGCATCTTTTTCTGCTAACCTTCCAACACAGCCCAACACAGACTATATTTGCTCTATTGACAGGTACTGCATATTGAGCAGTGAACTTCATTGATTTCTCCAAAATAATGTAGATCTCTTTCCTGAGATGTCAGTACAGGAGATGTGAGCAGATATAAGTTCATAAAAATCTGTTTTCTATCAGTGTTCTCCATCAGCAGTGGCATTTCAACTAGATTTTTCAGTGTATCCTCTTTTTTTTTTTTAACTTACTTTCTACAAGCATTGGGAAAATCTAATTTCTGGATTATTATGAAAGATTGGTCAGTGTGAAACATGGGTGCCTACAGAGTCTTTTATAGGGACTAAAGTAAAATTAATCCCTGCAAAAAAAATTAGCATAGGATAAAATACAATTCACCATTGGAAAAATAAATAAATAAATAAATAGGGGTCCAGAAAAATATTATTGTAAACATGAAGTCTTTCAGTTGTGGGTATGAGGCAATGTAGTCACAGACCTTAAGTAGCACATTTGGAAAAGCACTCATCACAGAAGGGTTTCCCACAAAGAAATCTTAAATGAGCTACAGCTTAAGTAGGTTCCTAAACTCAAGGAATTTCAAACACACAAAGAAACGCATAAGAATCACTATCTGCTGAACTGTAAATCAAGGATGAAGAAAAAAAAACTAATTTTCCAAACATATTCTTCTAATTATTTTTCCTTCAGCTTTATTGTCATATTCATTGGTAGGCCATGATAGCTATAGTAAAAGAACAAAAAATGGTTTAGAATAGCTTTAATTCTTTCTTGTTGCTGCAGGGCAGAAAATGTTAATTCATTTGTGGATTTCACCAGATTAAGGACACTGTTCCACAACAATGTGTCTTCTCATTAAAACTGTACAGGATTTTCACAGAGAAAACCCTTAGTCATCACATTACTCAGTTTTATAGTTGTGGTTGTGGTCTAGGTACATCAAAATTCTGAAAAGAAAATTCAGTGACTGTGGTGGTTTAACAATTGATGTATGTCTAAGATCTATCACTCTGCTCTCTCACTTTTCCTCCTCAGAAGGACAAGGTGAGAAAATGTGATAAAAAATGTAGAAAACTCATGTGGCTTGAGACAAGGACAGGGAGATTGCTCATCAGTTACCATCCTGGATGGCACGGGATTATGGGCAACGGGGGCTGCTCTCAGTCCATAATATGTCATCTCTGAGGCTCCTCCATGGCCACCCTTCTCCACATGGCTCCCTCCCACAGGACACCATCATTCCACAACTGATCCCACATGCAGCTCTCTCAGCACTTCTCCATCATGTCTCCATCCCATGAAACCTACCCTTCAGGCTCTGCTCCAGCACAGTCCCACGGGTGGCAGTTCTTCCAGCCTTCCTGACCCACCATGGGTCACCTCTCCAGGTGCTGCAGCTCTGGCCCAAGGCTGCTCCTGTGGAGGTATCCACAGGAGGGCTGTGCCTCCTCCAGGCTTCATCTGCTGCTGCACAATGGGCTCTTCCATGGCTGTGCATGGAGATTTGCTCCATTTGGGGCCCATGGCTGCAGGGAGACATCTTGCTCCTCTGTGGGCCTCTCTGTGCCTGGAGCACCTCCTACCCTCTTCCTGCACTGCTTCTGGGGGCTGCAGAGTGCCTAACTTTAATCACATTGAGTCTGGAATTCCCTCACTTCAGGATTCATAAGTGTAATGACAACATTTGCCCACCGTGGTCACTAGTATTTTGTAGACTATCCTGAGAACTCCTGAGTGACAATGTGTATGTATGTTGCTTCAGATTTATCCTGATAAGAAAACAGAACTGCACCCTTCATTTTACTTAGGTAAATACATTCTCTTCTCCAACAGTTGCATACAAAATCTGGAGATACAGACAAAACAAAACAAAAATAAGGTAAAGGGATTTCCCAAGATCCCAATTAAAGATACTGAGCTTATTGAAAAATGCTTACTACTACTTGAGATAATGATAAAATTAAAAACATAGGGCTGATTGGTGTTGATAGATGAGGCCATTATCAAATGAAGTCTGTTGTGACAGGAGAAGGGGAAAAGATTTCCAAATGAAAGAGGGGAGCTTTAAATTGGATACAAGAAAGTTTATTACAATAGAGTTGGTGAAGCACTAGAAGAGCTTTCTCAGAGATCTGTTGGCTGCCTGTCCCTGTAGGCATTCAAGGTCAGGCTGGATTGGACTCTGAGCCTCTAACACCCCGAATCTAGCTGTAGATATCCCTGCTCGTTGCAGGGGTGTTGGACTAGATGATCTTTAAACATCTCTTCCAGCTCAGATGATTCTATGACTATGAGTCCATGAGTGTTAAAAGCAAAAATCATTACCTTGATGGGAAAAAAAAATAAATAATTATTCTCCTTCTACTGGTTCTAGTAACATGAAAAATTAAGCAAGTGTTAACAGTATAAGCAACTTAGTTAAACAGTAAGAAAATAAGTACAGGTATGAAATGAATAGACAAGACTGTGAAATTACCCAAATTAAATAAATAAATAAATAAATAAATAAATAAATAATGAGAAATCAAAACCATTTGTTAGTCACTCATTTTTCTCAAGTTCTAAAAGATCTCCATCCCTCGCATACACTTAGTTCACACTGAGGAGAAAATTTTAGAGTCAAGCATGCTTTTCATTTGCAGATTTGAACAAACTTAATCCAAATGGCCGTCACTGCTGTTGCTAAGTACATTGATTTTCTGCCTAGTTAGAGTACTACAGAAAGTGAGAAGTTTGCAGGTTTATCTGACTTGAGTTTCCATGTAATCATTTCCATGCCACAGGAGAGATGCAACAAGCCACCTCCAGACCACAAGAGTCAGAGTGAAGAGTGTAAAATGCATCTTGAACAGGAGATGTGTAATGGCCTCTGAACACCAGGCATTTTACAAGAATTGAATTTGGCTTCCCCTCTGACATCAGTCAGATTTTTTTTTTATTATCTCATACCACAATTCAGTGAAGGTCGTGAATAAGTGTGCAACTTGAACCAGATGAGTAACACTACTTGATCATTTTCAGGTCAAAGAAGGTTAATCCAGTGCCTTGCTATCAATTGCCCTTGCACCTTTAAAGATTAGGTGTGTATATGTTTGCTTGCTCACAGGCAAGTCTGTTCATCAGAAATCAAATTCTTTTTCCTTCTGGTCCTTTTTGTCCTGGCACATTAGGACAAAAAGAAAACCCAGTTCAAAGGAAGTATGTTGTGAAATTCTAATGGAAAAAGCCAAGTCTTCAAAGTCAGCTGGAGCAAAAATAGATTTATTTCATCTGTTTGTTAAATTAATCCTTTTGCCTTTGCTCCTAAATCAGTTTATTTTTCCCATGATACATAAAATCCAGAGGCATAGATGGAACAGATTTTTTTAAAGTACCA